TCCTAATCCTCTGCTTAGAACACTTTCAAAGCCGGAGTGCTTTCGTCCATTAGGACGGCACGACCTAGGTAGTGTAGCCACTGTCGCTTCATTCGCTAAACTATGTCAATATCATCGTATAGCTCGTTCAGCTCATCCTTCCACCGTGTGCGGTACTCGCCGTTGCCAATGCGCCAATTACCATAAATCAGTCACAAAACTTTTATCTCGAAGACTCCCAAAGCCGACTCATAAGCTGTTGGCATCGTCCACGCCTCTGTGCCATATATTAGAGCGGATATGATGAACTTGAACTACTCGTAGAGTTTGGTTTACGTCCGCCCGGAGAGGACTTTACTTTTCAATTGCCTACTCAGTTCAAAGCAGCCCCTGTTGGCAAGAGTGGTTCTGCGTTGGATTTCAAGAATGACATTTTTGTTGGTAGTCTAAGGTAGATGAAGTTATCTACAACTTCAAAGTTATGACTATGAACAATGACCTGAAAGCCGAGTCGCGAATGCGATGACTGTTTATTCGATGACAGGACATATTTCGTCTTGCCTTCATTCACTACCAGACCCATATCCTGCACTTCCTTTTCCAGTCTGGTGAAAGCAGAACTATAAGCCAAACCTCATTCTCCATCCTGACGGAGCTTTTAGTGTTACATGACATCAGTTTACACAGCCGTATAAGTTTTGCGAGGATACCAAATTCAGACATAGCGACATAAAGGCAGCTCCTTCTCGTGCTGCTCAACCCTGTTTTTAAATCGACGAAGAGGCGATAGTTGTCAATCCTATTTTCACGGGTATTTTTCAAGATTGGGCACATGAAGAATATCTGGTCAATGGTTGACTTAGCAGGTCTAAAGCCAAACCGACAAGATTCGATAAGTTTGTTGACGGTGAACGAAATAGAAAAAGACTTGTTTCTTTCTTTATTTTTTTTTTTTTTTTTTTTTTTTTTTTTTTGAGAAATTTATTTAAAAGCTAACTGAGATGAAAATGCCATTTACGTACTGGAAAAAGTAAAGTAAAAAGGGAATTCGAAGATGTAATTGCTACATGTTCGAATATGTGTGGGAGAGCATTTGAATAAAGAAGAGTTTACACCGTTTGACAATACATTACACCGGGAATGGATAGTTAATATTATTACAAAAACAAAATACGTTTCAATATTATATGTGCATACGTGTAGTTACTGAGTCAAGTTACTTAAATTAATTTTTTTTTATATACTTAAATATAATAAATAATAAAATTTTTATTAATGGTTATTACTAATAATTACTATACAAAGAGCTTTTTTGAAGTTTTTTAAAATGATTTCTTCCGGTTATCTTTCTACCAAATTTTACATCACTTATATTTTTTTGATATTTATATTTTCTTTTACTTATCTTTCTTTCTATTTTACAACCATTTTCATCCAAAAATTTTCTGATTTTTTATTTTAGATTTTGAAACAACGATTTTTACTAGTTCTCGATTCTTAAAATCTTGACAATCCTCTCTATTTTTATTGATATTTTTCTCCTTCTTTTTATGTAATAGTTCGGTGAGTTTTTGCCAGTCTGATTTATCAATTTGCTTATATAATAAATCTATGGGTTTATATCCACTCGTGGTATGTTATAAATTTCTACAGCTTTAAACACTGAAGTTTTGTCGTCCATACCCTGATTGTTTTTATCTACAATAGTTTAAATAGTTGTATATGCTCATTTAGCGTTAAATGGAAACGTTCTATATCCGAATTACCTGTGTGGAGATGTGAAAAGATATTCGATATTTTGTAAAGTAAGAAAATGTTTAATGTATGCAGTATTAAACTCGTTATCTTCTATAAATTATGTTGGTTTCCCTAATAGACAATGATATTGGTAAGTTTATCTATGCTAGTTAATTATTTATTATTTTTGAATGATACAATTAATTACGTATTTTTGAGCATCTAATTTAAAATTACGAAAATACACGAATACACACGATTAAGGTCGTGGTATGTTTCTTCTATACCTACTATTCAAATAATTTAAGGAAACTGGGTTCCGTTGCTGTTGTGATATTCCGCATTTCATTAATACGTAAAATAAACAGGTCGAGTTCCTCAGCTATACCGTTAAATTCCGGAACATCCACCAATAAATCGAAGGTGGTGTGGCGCGACATGATTGGAGTATTGGTGTTGTTAATTTTTAATAATTTAATAGTAATTTATATTTTAAATATATAAGCAATAGTACTCTAGTATATTTCGATTTCGTTTTTTTGCGACTGCGCCAATGAAATAAAAAGAGACTTGTTTTTTTTATTTTTTTTTTACACTCTCTTACTCCGTTTTTTTTTAAACATTTATTAAAAACTGACTGAAATGAAAATGTAATTTACAAACTATAGTGGTAAAAGTAAATTAAAAAAGAAATTTGGAGATTTAATTGCTACTTGTTCGAATATGTGTGGGAGATCATTCGAACAAAGAAAAGTTTACATAAGTGGTGGATTTTAGTGTTTTACACAAAACGCTCGATATGACCTTATATGCGATGTTAAGGAGGCTTTTGTAGATTGAGCAGAGAAGACTAAGTTTCCAATCGTCGCGCATGCTTTCATCGGACCATTTTTTACAAACAAGCTGATGTATGCACCTTGCCAGCTCTTCACCGCCATATTTGAATAGTTCTGCTTGTAGGCCGTCATCGTCAGCCGCTTTGTAGCTTTTTAAGCGAGCAATCGCTATTCGAACTTCGACTTGGCCAGGCAAGGGAACGTCCGTTTCATCGTCATCGATTAAAATTTCGGGTTCGCCATCTTCGAGTGTTTCGTTTTCACTGCCATTTAGCAGGCTGGAAAAGTGTTCCCTTCATAGATTCAGTATACTTTGGGTATGAGGAGTCTGCTTCCATATTGAAACCTTCCGTAATGCACCGTATCTTTTCGTAGAATTTTCGAGCATTACCCTTGTCGGCCGGCTTCTCAAGCTCTTCATGCTTACGCATCCCAGCCTCTTTCTTTTTTTGTCCGCAAATACATTTTGCTTTTCTCTTCACTTCTCGGTATCTATTCCGACCCACTCGTGTTGTGGTTGCTCGCAGGGTTGCGAAGTAGGCAGTATGTTTTCTCTCCACTGCGGTTCGATATTCCTCATGCACCAGCTCATTTGATAACTCATGGTGTCCGTTGCCGTTTCACAGTTCCCTTATGTCTGATGGTGCTGATGGGTGCTCTCAGAAAGCAGGTGTGTAAGACGAGTATGAAATTGCTCGGCAGTCTGTTGTGATTGCAGTTTTTTGACGTCGAACCTTTCTTGTTTTTGCTGACGTACGTTCTGTGATACACAGAGGCGTGTGCGTACCCTCGTTGCAACAAGATAGGGATCCGAGTCGATGTTGGATCATCAGAGTGTACGCACTCCAAGAACACTGGAGACATGTCTTCCGTCTATCACAACATGATCGCTCTGGTTGAAAGTTTTTCGATCTGGAGACAGACAAGTCGCTTGGTGAATTTTCTTGTGCTGGAATCTAGTGCCACAGACAACCATTTTTCGGGCGAAGTCGATCAGCATCAACCCATTTGGGGATGTCTCAACGTGGAGGTTGAATTTTCCGACAGTTGTGCCGACATACCTTCTTTGCCCACCCACCCTGGCGTGGGAGGGCAGCGTTCATAAGTGTGTACGAGGCGCTGATAAAAGGCATCCTTGGCCACATCGTTCTTCTCTTCCATCAGGGGTGGGCACAAATTAGCTGTTGAAGAATTTAGCTTTGAGGCGGATTTTTTTTTTTTTGTTGAGACGTCCCATTAACTACCTTCCACTCGGTAGCCGAAAACTAACTACATCCCGAAGCCAGGTTTTTTCTTCAAATCCTTTTAATTGCCGTTAAAAGCTCTGCAACATATTTGAAAGGGACATGCATTTCATAGTTTCTTTTTAATGTGCTACTGAAGAATTTAAAATGAAGGTTAATTTCGCTGAGCAATAAATAATATGACTTGCTGAACAGACTCCAACTTATCACTATTTGCGTATACAACGCACTGCTCATCTCATGTGGAGTCTTACGCAGGCGACACCATGTCTACATATATTATATTAATGCACAATTTGTTGAAGTAGATGCTATTGAACTTTATACAATTCTTTTCCTCGCGAAATGAGATTATCTATTCTCTTCCGAGCGATAGATGCCTATTTCCACCTTTAACAGCCCCACTTTTGTATGAACTTATAAAGCTTCGCGTCATATGCTTTGCATATCATTTTCGAAACTTTTCAGCCCTCATAGGCTACTATTTACCTACAATACTCATTTGTATTCTCTGAAACAGAAACAGATTGTTTTCTGCAATTTAAATAAATAAATTAAAAAAGAAACCCATTTGCTTTTCTCTGCGTGGTAAAACTTTGTATTCCGATCAGGCTATTAAAAGCTGTTTTTCGATTTTAAAAATCAAGACTTTTTCGAAAATGGATTTTTTACGGCAAGTGAACGATTATTTAGATATTTTGGCAGTAGCAAACTTCCGAGCGTGTAGTAGGAAAAAGTTAATCGTAAACCCAATCGGCTTTGAAATACCAATTTCCAATGAAATGTATGTAGATACTAACACACATCCAACTACATGTGTGCATACATACATTCATACAATTTAACACACATAACCAGCAATCAGCTTAAGAGAACTGTACAATTTTTAAACCTTTTTAAAGGTAAAGTTAACCGTTTAAATTTGGCAAAAAGAGGTAAATGGCGAGCATGTGTAGGTGTGTGTGCTACCACGTTGAGTTGTGCTCATACCAATAAATAAGTAGTAGCTTCGACCTCAAAAAGTTATTCTCGTGCATTCTCTCAACTCAATTGTTTATTACTTTTCAGAGTGTGGATCGCACGTGCAATGCTTTGAGTTAGCCGCTTTCCGCTCTCTGTTTGTTATTAACCGACATTGTTGCTTCAAACGCATCACATTTTACTCGCATTGTTATTATGGTGATTGCCGAACATTTATTCAGATTCAAACAAGTCTAGGTGTTGCTGGCGCTACGTTTTAGTAAAGGTGGAACTGAATAAATCAGTTTGTGAACAACTGTCTAAATAACAAGACCTGTACGAAAGGTGCTAACTGAAAGTAAGAACAAGTGGACTCTTAACGTAATTTACATTTTTGTAGAAGCAGGCAAAACAAAAAAAAAATGCTTGCTTAAATATAAAAAGTGTATTTTTTAAAGATTGGAAAGTCATACCGGTTTTATAAGAATCCAACTCATTATTGGTTGCTATTGCGTAAATATTTTTTGTAGAAAAGGTGTTTCTAAATCCGGAATTGTGGTTTCTTCCTCTGATCGCGAAAACAAATCGAACCTCAAACCTACACCTATAATCATTATTGTACCTTTGCGGAACAATAAAAAGTGAAAAAATCTACAAATTAAATTGACGTTTGAAATACGAAAGCTGAAATAAATATATACACTCAGGAATGCATGGAGTTTCATTTATGTATATGTTTATATACATACACATATGTATAAACCTAAAAGTTTTTGGTAGCGAATTTTCGAGTTTCGTTTTTAATTTGGCTGTATCATTCAGTGAATATTGTATTTAAAGTGAATTTGTTAAGAGGGCTTCCAAATTATTCTCAGTTCAATTAAATATGATTAATTAGTAAAAATATAAAAAAATTTGTTTTAAATTTTTCTCCAAACTTCTTCAAAGTATAACGTCATGAGTATTAATAATCTGGTGTAGTAAAAAGAAATCTATTATTTTTACATAAAATTTAATAGTTTAATTTTTTCTTTTCGTATCCAGCCTTATTCAAATAATTCCAAACGGTTTTTTTTGCAATTTTTAGCTCTTGAGCATTCGAAACAGTGCTTACATTACGGTCGGTGGTCCGCTACGTTAAGCGTATTTCACATCAAAATTACCGGAATGAAACCGAGATTATGCGTGATTGACTGTAACAGTATCAGGACCATAAGCGCTTTTCACATTTTCAGCCGCCTGGCTTGCGTTTTTGCCCTTATCGAAGAAAAGCTGTATAATATACCATATTTTCTTTTAGATAATGCCCATCTTTGACGTACGCTCAAATAAAACTGAATCAATAAATCACAAAACTGTCAGAAAAACTTTCCATCTATTGGAAAAATAATGGATTTCTTTTCACTACACCTAATATATGTATGTATATATTAATAATGTACTCATACTCGACCATGATGATACATGCTTTGCGGTTTAACGTTTTTCTCTGTTAATATAGTTCTTTAACAGATGGAATTTCAAGGATAGGCACATACACAACTAATTATTGTACAACCAAAAACCTTTTATTTTCAATTATTGAACAATTAAAATAATGTATAGTCCTGGCTGATATGTACTATTTGGCGGCTATGCGCAAATTAACGGTGTTTTCGTTTCACGAAAGTATTGTGCATTTCTTGCTTACCTTAGCGGAGCGACCAAATTTGGTATTTGGTACTCAGTATTTTACTTTTACTTCTTTTTTTTTTTAAAGGATACAAATAAGTATGATTGAGAGGCTCAGCATGCTGTGGAATATTGAAAGTGTTGTGTAAAATGTTAGTTTCGTGATTCCTTAATAATAGCGTATCGTAGATCATTCCAAAGGGGACACTGATTAGGACTTGAATTGTTTAGAAGACAACTATTAGTAATAATGATATGTCTTTCACGCAAACGAACTAAGAAAATTATGAAATTTGTTTTGGATACCCTCGGTATAAATAGATTAAGATCGTTTCATGAAAGTAATATGTCCGCTAAAAGCTTACCATTGATTTCTGAATAATCTGGAAGCCATTACCTGATTTAATGAAGAAATTCCTTTGATTTGTAAATTAAAAAAAAAAATGCATGGAAAGCGTATCGAGTCCAAGAATTTAGCCAGCCATTCGATTTATAAAAATTAATATCCAAAAGAATTTCAACGAGGTAGTTGAAAAATTATTTTTCTTTAATGGCCCATGGTCTATTCTTTATTGAAGATAAGGCGAGAGCGCGAAAATAACTACGTAAACAATATGGCAAGGGGCTGCTAGTGTACTAAGAATATTTTTTGGTCTAATGTCCATAAATTTCAATTCCAAAACAGATAGTTCACTGATGGAATAGTTGACATATAACAGAAAGGGCTTTCTTTCGAAGGAAAAAGAGAAAGGAGAGATTATTTGTAAAACAGGGATAGGGTTTTCTAAAAAAAACCGTTGTCTAAGATCAAATAAGAGATTTAAAAAAAAATTAGAAAACAAGAATGGCACCGATTTCCTTAAATACGAGTACAATGTTAGAGAGAACAGAATGCTTCCTTTGACCATACCAAAATCTTTATACTTATCATGAGTATAAAATGTTTGTTTTAAGTATCTAATTATTTACTATCGATTGCTGCGCATTTGTGTTATGTGTATTATTAATTTACTTATTACATAATTAAATGCATAAAGTCACAAATCTGAACAATTAGTTTTATGGACGTCATATGCCCTACTTTCTTGGTCGATTGCGAGCCATATTCGAACTGAAAAGGAAATGATAAGGACAAGAACATAAGTCAAATATCTGTGGGATCAAATGTATGGGAGCCCGATGAAGTTGGCAAGGCAAATAATTATTGAAATGCGAAATTATAATATAATTGTCACTTTGTACAGCTGAGGCGATTCTCGCCGCTAACTTATCGAGAATACCTTGATGTTTTTCCAATAAATGGAGAGATCTACAGTTTATTCTAAGCCACCTTCGAACGGCCGGTGAATGTTTTTGAAGGGATTTTATTTGATGTCATATATACACTTGGAGGGGCGATAGCAGTTAGAAAACTTAACTATAATTTTGGCTGTTGGTCAGACCAGGACTCGAGCCCGGGTCATCCAAATGTTAGTACACAATGCTTACCACTCGGTTACTGCGATCGATAATGCCAAATATCCTTTGTACATCTCAAAAATACTAGTTTGCAGATCTACCACATACTTCAAACCAAAGTTAATCCACCAAAACGTAGATACACTCGATTGTCTAAAAAGAATGAATTTCAATGCTAACTCAGGAATATAGTAGGCTCGTCTCGAATATGAGGGAGAATTCAATGAGTTTCAATATGTACCGTTATTGAATATACTGAAATAAAACATTTAAGAGCTCTAATGTCATGTTAAATCATTTCTTTTAATTAAAATTTATGAATAACGGGTAGTAGAAACATGAAGTCCTTCTACTTTGACTTGGGTACAACTTTAAATATCTCAAAACGTTGAATTGCCACGCATTGAACATTGAAAGTTTCTGTAATAGTTGAATTTTTTAATTATTGCAGGAAAAGTGATTGAATGTTATCTTTACAAATAGTCGCACATCCAAAACAGACGTTAAAGGTGTAAAACGTTTATTATTTCTCAGTTATAAATAACCTCATTACTTTAGGATATTCATTTAAAGTTAATATTTACAGTAATAAATATTTATCAAATATTAGTCATATATAATTATCGAAAGTTGTGCTTTCGGAATGCTTTTTTTATACCCAAGTTGTGTAATCCCATTAAAAATTGCAAATAAAAAATGGTGTTCCAAGTATTACCTTTAAAATTCAAAACTATCTGCGAATTTCAAATCTCGATACTCACGTGCTCATGTGACTACGCCTTATACATTTTTCATCTACAGTCATGGTATACGAGTATTGTACTATAAAACGGTGCACTTTATGTGATTTCAATTGAAGAGTCACACACGGCTGTCAGTGTTAATTAATCACTGTACAAGTCGTCAGTTTTCATAAATTGAAACACTTTTTCTTAACAATTGACAGGTGATTTCTTCTTATTTTCCAAAATACGAAAATAAATGTATACACACATATTATATAAGACGCAACAAAGATCATGATTAAATATAGAAGCAGATGCAAATATATTGGTCTAGTAAATAGTAATCCATTTTACTAAAAAACGTAACGAGAGAGGTGTTGATCCCTTAACTCAGTAGTGTTTGAGTGCAGGTCAAAGATGGACACCAGCAAAGTGCAAATATGCGATATTCTATAATATATTCTTAACTTTTCTTCGATAAAATCGAATATGCAAATCAGACAGCTGACAAAGGTGAATAGTAGTACTGGTCCTGGGAGTGTAACAGTCAATTATACACAATTTTGTTGTCAACGATATCGTTCCGTTAACTTTGACGTAAAAAATGCTACACGGTATGAAAGGCCAATTGTCGAAAATGTCGATAAAATAATGCAAGTAGTCGAGTCTGACCGTCATGCGACCACTATTGCACTTTTTCGATTGCCCAAGGGCTAACCATTGCACAATAAACAGTTTGGAATCACCTTAATAAGGCTGGATACACAAAGAAGCTCGATGTATGGGTGCCTCATGAGCTAATAAAAAAAACCACATCAATCGTAACAAAGTCGGCACATGAAACAGATGGCGACTGGTGATAAAAAGCGGTTCACTTACAGTAGCGTCAAACGAAAACGGTCGTGATTGACGGGCTGTGAGCCGGCATAAACTGTCTCCAAGCTGATTGTAGGGTTGTTATGCATCCACCTTATAATTCGAAATGACAAAAAGTGATCAAACGAATCGGTGAATATTGGACATGAAAAGGATGATTCTAACAATGCTAAATAGAGCCTTCAATTTAATGCAAAAATAATGAATTACTTGACCAATATTTATGCATATGTGTGTGTACATGCATGTGTATATGTTAGTATCGTATATGTGCAGTATTTTATCGTCGATCAGCATTAAATAACAAGCGTGTAGTAAAATAATATAAAATGGCAAAGTATTAAGTGTGACTCAGCGAGTTCTCATTGTATCTGACTGGATATGATTTTCTTATCATAAAGTCTGTTGTTGACTATTTTTACAGCTTCTCTTTTAATAGCATTACTTTAACCCTTAAAAGAACAAAACACGATATGAAGTTTTAAAACTTGCAGTGAAAGTTAAACATGGCACATATCATTTTGTGTTCTTTTCTTAGCCTTGACTCTATTAATCGTTATCTCGTAGAAGTGTGTTTGAGTTAAATTATGTTTTATCAATGTTTTAAGAAATGGATCGCACTATAGAG